TATTTTACAAACACAATTAAGTCTTATTTAACAACTGTAACTAGAAATTGAGGTGGATATTATCAATTATTCTTTTTCTTTTTTCCACCCCTTTCCCCGAAAAAGATGTTTTCGTTCGGTAAATTTAAGCATTACAATATTTAATTTTGCTAAATAGTTGGGAGCTATTATTTTACAACTTGTCACTGGGGTTGCCACAGAGAGAGCTGCGTGATATCACCAACGCTGTTTCTGCAGACGAAAGCACCGTTGATGCCGTATCAATAATTCTCGAGAAAACCGCCGAGTACGAGGACAAACTTGTGTCTGAAGCCGAATCTTTACCTAACAAAGTTTTGAATTGAAGGCGACTAAACCTTTAGCGTTTACCGCTAAAAAGAACCCCTTTATCGTATCTCTTCAGTTTCAAGGCACTTTCTTTGCTGCTTCAGCTGGCATCGGGGTCCTTATCGTCGACGTATCGAATAGTGTGCAGTTGCGTAGTCACTTGGAGGGGAAGGCCAAATTGTCCTCTAAAAAGCTTGGCGTGCTCAGCAGAGCGAGGCAGTATTTCATGCCGTCACATCACTTGCAAATTTGCAAAGCCCAAGTTCGGACTCACATGGAGTTCTGTTATCATCTCTGCGTTGAGTCACTCCACTTGACCGTATACAGCGCAGAGCAGTTCGAATTTTCGACAGCCGAGTTCTTTCCGATTGGCTTGATACACGGGCGCTGCATAAGGATGTTGCATATCTTTGCATTTTCTACCGAATCTGCTACTGGGAGTGTTCTAAAGGATTATTCGGATTAGTTTACGAAATCACATCGCCTCAAAATTCACGATACCATCCTCACCATCTGGTTGCCTGGCGGTCAACCACTGTGCATTTTACTAGGAGTTTTTTTCCATGTACAACTTCTCTGTGGAATTGTTTGCCACCGACGGTTTTTCCGGACCGATACGATTTAGGCAGCTTCAAGAAAAGAGATTACATCTTTCTAAAAGGACGGCAACATACCTGCTATTCTCCTGGCGTTGCGGTTGTTTATGGGCGGCGGTACTCACTTATCATCAGTTGAGCCGCATGCTCGTTTGCCCCCTCTTCTATAAAAAAAAATATATTTCATTCATACATTCAATATTGATACAAAATTAATCATGAAAAAAACGTATGAGCGTTTTTCGGGTTCAATATTTTATCTTATATATTACAACATTTATAAAACTTAAGGTGTAAAATAAATCAACCCAGGGAGCTTGTTGGGTTGTCGCTTTTAGCGGGTTCGAGGATGGAACATGGTATAGTTTATGCATATCTTTTTTACTTATGAGGTCATGACGATTAAACTAAAATATGACAATTCCAATTTATTATTAAATTGAGTTTATTTTACTCCCGCTTTCTACTTAGCTAGCATTTCATTATAGAGCACAAGTGTAGTTTATTCCGTGGTGTCCCATTTGTTATCTGTTATAAATGTTTCTGTAATTTTCCTAAGCGCAACAGACTAAGATAATGCAAGTGTTAGAGACAGATAATATATTATGGATAATAAATAATAATAAAACGCCACTTTATGAATATGTTTCAGTACATGTCCATAAATTTGCTTCGCCTAACAGTAGTTATACAAAAATAAGATTTGTATGTAATTTTCCAGAAATTTTAAGGCGTACATTAGATTACACGCACATACAGGCTTCAATCAATTCCATCAATCATGATTGATAAAAAACGGATGGTGACTAACGAGAAGAATTAAACCAAACATTATTAAAAATATAAGAGTTGATCAATGTTGGAGTTGTTTTTCTTATGTGCGTTTTTTTTTTTTTTTGCAATTTAAGCTTTAATATCTTACTGTGTAAGGCAGTTATAAATAAAAATTAGTTAATTTTATTAGCCTGCACTGCTATACTGGTGGATATCATCATTCATCATCATTACAGCCCTTCACAAGTCCACTTCTGAACATAGGCCTCCCGCAAGGAACGCCATAAGGCACGGTTTCAAGCCACCTGCATCTGATGTAAGGGAGGGAGTCTAGGATATGATCACAAACTGCAGATTTTACGGAATTTTTGTGCTTCACGTTAGCTATATGTTGTTTTACGCAAGTTCTTGATCTTTTTAATTGTCCTATATATGAGAGACCACTTATACAATCAAGCGTGTACACTCCTGCATCTTGATTTCTTTTTACTTCCTTAATGTCTCACAAAGTCATCACTCTATCTAGTGAGAACCTTTTTTACCCATCCGTTGTCGGTTCTTCGAGCTATATGGCTGGTCCATTGCCACTTCAGTTTACTAATCCGTTAGGCTATGTAGGTTACTCTGTTCTAATGCGGATATCCTCATTTTAAAGAAGTGGAACAGAAGGGAAATCGGTCTATAGCTCTTCGAGAGAGCGTTGTCACCTTTCATGAAAAATAAGACCAACTCACTTCTACTCCACGCCTCTGGAGTATTGCCACCATGGAGGACGGAATTAAAGAGCTTCTAAGGGAATTTAAGCACCGGTTTTCCATCCACTTTCAGAAACTCCGCTGTAATTCCATACTCACCCAGGGACTGCCGTTTTTAAGGTGATAGAGAGCCATTCCAGTCTCGCTCAGACTGACATCCGGGATATTTTCGGATAAGTGTCATCAAATCTTTACTCATGCTTGCATGTGGCTCCAACGATGACGTGTGCAGCTGCCCATAGAACCTCTCAATGTCTGGATATAAACTTTTCAAGTTCTACTGCAGGCCAATTCTTGCAAAAAAATATGCAAGCTTTATCTACTAAAAGGTTTAAAAGGTTTATTAAGCAAAAAATGCTTAGTGTGGGTTCTTTAACTACTAAAGAGTACACGTTTGATAATAACCCCTGGGAATTAGGTGATCGCTACCATGCTGTTTGTTGTGTAAAAATATTATTTCTTTTATTAATTAGGTATAAGAAATCTAAATCGGGTACACAGAAATCAGGCATCAAATTCGTGTTAACCTGTGTTATGCTTTTAAAAAATAGTCCCGCTGTGTTGGAGTGACAAAAATAAGATTTGTATGTGATTCTGGTTATTTCCAGGACAGAGGTATTTTCACGAACCAGTAACCGCTAAGCGTCCAGACGGTGTGGTTGGTATCTGGAGTTTTGCAGTGATGTGCGTTCGTGAAATTTGGCGGCTTGAATTAATCCAAACAATTTCTCAGAGCACTGCCGTGGTAAATCACACGGTCGAATAAATATTATATTACTACTGGTATATTTATATAAATTTTTAATTGTAAATTTATTGTTAACGCTCTAAAAATTCATCCGCGTTTATTTGTTTCTACGGTAAGAAATTAAGCCTCTTACTTAAGTATTAGCAGCCTTCCACGTTGAGTAAGTAAAGTAATTTGAAGTACTTACCGAAGTGTTAAGGAATCTTGTCAGATTGTTTTCACGATTTTTGGCATTTTATCGTGAATATTGTCAATACTTTACTAACTTCAAAAAGGAATGACAAAAGTATATTTAAATTTTCAATGCTAATCTAAATATAAAAAGTCGGTTTATTATTTAATGAAAATGAATCAATTAAGACATTAAATCCGAAATTTTGTATTTTTCTTATCCTCAACAGTATAATAAAAATCTAAAATATCGCGCGCGCGCGCACGCGTGTGTATGTGTGTATATGTGTGTTTGTGTGTGTTTGTGTGTGTGTTTGTGTGTATGTGGGTGTTCGTGTGTGTGTGTGTGTGTGTGTGTGTGTGTGTGTGTGTGTGTGTGTGTGTGTGTGTGTGTGTGTGTGTGTGTGTGTTTGTGTGTATGTGTGTGTGTATGTGTGTGTGTGTGTGTGTGTGTGTGTGTGTGTGTGTGTGTGTGTGTGTGTGTGTGTGTGTGCGTACGTGCGTGCGTGCGTGTGTGTGTGTGTGTGTGTGTGTGTGTGTGTGTGTGTGTGTGTGTGTGTGTGTGTGTGTGTGTGTGTGTGTGTGTGTGTGTGTGTGTGTGTGTGTGTGTGTGATCTCCATGTCAACATGCATCCACTCTACACGAAAGCGCTACTGCACTGTGCACTACAACTGCGCGTGGCTACCCAAAACCTGACTGCGCGCGTTTGACGCTCGTGCTACATTAAGGATAATTTTAGAATTAAAATTTAGTTACGATTAATAAGTACTTAATCTATTTATGAATTAATTTTGATGTTTTAAGAATTGTTATTTGTTACTACTTCCGGTTTACTAAATCTAATGTATGATAACTATATTGTAATAAATGTATTAAAATAGCCATATGTATTAAAATAGCAATAATAACAATGTTTGTTTGGATGTTAAAAATGTATTTCATATTTTTGAATGTGTTTAAGTAAGGATTTTAGTTCCTTTATCTTATTACTAATATGTGTTAAACCGTTTTGGACCATGTGTTTTCTGAAATAAATATATTTATACTGAAAATTAATTGTTGAAAACTGTGAAAACGGTTTTTAAAATTATTTTTATGATTTCATTTAATGGTTAATAGTTTTTATAATATGATTGTTAATATTTAGATGTGTTAAGCATTGTTGAATTGTATTTTCTTTTAATTTTGTAGTTCAATTGACATTGGCGGTAATCTTATAAATACTCCGAATTTAAAGAAATTCGGGACTATACTTGGTTATTCTTCGTATTAGCAAGTTAAATATATTTCTACTATATCTTATTTAATTGTACTTTTGCTTATTATTGCTTATTGTGTCTTTTGTTAGAAAAGAAAATTATGTGTGAAGTTATTTTCTTTAAATATATTATTTTGTTTGTGTTGTTGTAAGTTGGCTAAATTTTTTCATGATTTGTCCATTGTTAAGAGAAAGATTTTATCACCTCTTTTTAGCTAAATAGGAGGATTTAAGTTTGTTACTGAACCGATTCTTATTCCTAGCTCATTTCTTTGTTTAATTTTCCATGAAAATAGCATCAAAGGTGGTATCGCCCGTGCTTTTTGTTAATTTTTATATTTTAAACATTTCAGGGAAAACATATTTCAATATGGATGTGCAGTTGGTGAAAGGGCTGCTGGAAACCATCCAAAATGCAATGGTTTCAAATAAGCGGTACGACAACCTAGCGGTGCTAATTTTCGACCCGGACAAAAGCAACGACGGAGCAGCCGCCTGGTGCAATAAGTTGGGAGAAGAGTTAAAATGGAGCAGCTTTGAGAAGGATGCAAAAGCCGGTAAGGCTCTTCGGAGCTCTGCATTATCCTAGTTTGAGACGTGAAAGCTTGAGGCAGGTAGATCATAGAAAGAATTCAAAAAAGATATTATGTCTGGTTACCCGCAAAGGAAAAAACTTAGTGAGAAACTGTTAACTGTAAAATTAAAGATATTATGTCTGTTTACCCACAAAAAAAAAATATTAGTGAGAAACTGTTAAACGCTGTGTTATACACTTCTCATTCAGCAGATTCTTTCGATAGTTATGCTAGGGAGAAATTAACTGATTTAATTATTATAAATATTATATTATGATTTAGTAATTATAAAATATAATTTAATTAACTGTGGGCTAACTAATAGAGTTATAATAGTAAATGTAAGAATGGCTAGTTTAAATAGTTTTGTGGAGTCGATCTCCGATCTCATTTCTTTACTTTCAACTTACACAAAATTGCCAAAAAATGGCCGTTTGAACAGTGGTCACATAAGAATTCACCAGATGGTAGTAACTCTAAACGTTTTAAATATAATTGGATTCCACATATTTAACTCCACATAATAATAAAAATCTAAATAACCCTATCAATTAAAATACGTTGTTGATAACCGGGAAAAAAATACTCAATCTCCTCAAAATTCTGTAAACTGTAATTTTTGTAAAAAGACCGACCATGATGAAATTACATGTTATTTTAATTATTCTTGTTCATATTGTAACAACATAAACGTAAAAACATGGTCATAGCGGATGTAAATATTTTAAAAGAAACCGCAGATAAATCATGACGCGTCAACAAACATTATTATCTCGCAAAAAAAAAATTATACTTTGTGACTAGGCTTACATTTAACGCCGAACTGTGAAAATGATTTTCGTGATTTTATTTAATGGTTAATAATTTTTATAATTTAATTGTTAATATTTAGATGTGTTAAGAATTGTTTAACTGTAAAAAATAAAAGCGATATTGTCGGTCATCTTATAAATACTCCAAATTCAAAGAAATTCGCGACAGTACTTGGTTATTCTTCGTATTAGCAAAATAATCAGGCACTCATATTTGCATTTTTTAAATATTTTGGCCGTGGAAGGAAAAGGGGAGCTCTCTCCCGGCAGGGTGATCAACCCGGTGAGCTTCTAACGCTCTGTTTAGTGATTCTGTAATATTCTATACAACTATACTATAGTAATTCAGAATTAAACGCTAAAACAATCATTTAGGTTTTTTTAATAGCATGCATACTCCACAATATAAAAATATCAGCTCAGTTAACATGAAGTAATTCATTAATTTATGGTTGGTATTACAAGAATATAAAATAAGGTTGAAAATGATTTTTTTCTGTATGGTCACAAGTTCTACGTATTTCAAGATTAGCTATTAATTGCTGGATAACGTGTGCAATATATTTTAGTATCTTTTTTCTTAAAAGCTTTAAGTAGGAATTTATTTTAATGTTCAAAATTATTAAGACCTTCTTATGGCATTGGAAAGAAATAAAACGCAAATACAACATATAAAACTAAGTAAATGATATTATATCTCACAACCAATAATATGTTTGTGATTGTGTTACTGCAATAACCAGTTTCGCTAAATGAAATTACTAAAGTAGCGGAAGCAGTTTATGACAGCTAACAAATGGGTCAGTACAAAGTGTGCAACATATGGTTTTAAGTTATTTGTTCAATCGCAATAGATATTTAAAATAATTATTTTATTGCTTTTAGATATTCAACCCATGCTGAGATATTTTTAGGCTGCTTAGTTTTTCATTTCTTTTATAATGTTATTTTCTGTAATTAAACTCCTATGAAGTGAATAATAACTTTACTAGACACGAGGCATAACATCTTAGTTCATAATGAAATAACTCATCTGCATTCTGATTCTTAATAGATCAAAATAAATATGTAGATGTCTAGCTGCCACAGCATTTACTTACTATCGTTTAGCCTAAATGCTGACTTGTTACCTTTAATTCTATAAAAATACACCGGGCTACAAGTTTTTTTCCATTGATTGTTAATGGTTAATGAAATGCTGACACTTCGGACAGTTGTTTTAAACAAAATTAAACAAAACAAGTGTTCATCCCTTAAGGACTCTAATAGATTAGTAGAATGCTTCAGTCTGTGATATATCCCTGCTTACTTACCTTTAAAGCCGCAAGTTAGTTATCTTAGTATTTAAAACTAACTTAGAAATATTTAAAGTGTGTGTGTTTGTATTTGTGTGCGTACATGCATGACGTGCGTGTGAGTGAGAGAAAGAGAGAGAGAAAGGAAGGACGTCAGACAAGCTGTCAGTCAGAAATTATAAAGACACATTATTATCATTATTATTATTTTTTCGATATTTTGTCTAGTAAGTATAAAAAGTTTTGATTGTCATACCACTATTTATCTGATTCAACAATATAATGCCGCCAGTACGAGATGTTAAATAATGTAGAGATAGAAAGTACATGATGAGCTGTTTGTTTACAACAAAATCTCAGGCAAAAAATTGCAAAAAAATTATCTTTGCAGCAGAAAAGCTTAAAAAATATTTATTTATTTTCGATTTATAAATTTTATTAAATGTTACAAAGGCGAACTTATGCCAGTTACCATTATCTGCTAGTTAACCCATGGATATATTGAAACCTATGGTGATATAAAACAGGCTTGTAAATTTCAAAAATAATATGAAAAATAAATACATAAAATTCCATATATCATAATTATCCGTAATGTATATATTTACGTACATGTGTACATGCATAATATATCAGAATAAAGGTAGCAGTACTACCTAATTGACGTTATGCAGACGACGTAATTTGTAAAAAATGTTCCCGAAATAATCTTTTGAAGGCTATCTTAATTGGTGATTCCTGAAATCATTATTCAGGTAAGAAGTTCTAGATTAATGTAGCCTGAACAATGAAAGAATTTCCGATAAAGCCAGTAAAATGGAGTGAAACTGAAATCTTCAGATTCGTTAAAGAGCGAACATAAGAAATCTTCGACATACGAAATTAAGGTGTAGTGACGGTGTATAAACATCCACTGCCCATAGCGTCACGTGGGTGTCGTAAGAGCCGATGGAGGGAACCTGAAACGGGAAATGTGCAGCATTATTGTCCTGATAACAACTCAAAATTATAAAACTGCGGTTGCCAGGCGTGGCAACTATGGCAGAATTCTTTCTATGACGCAATCTATTGGGAGGCCTATGTTTCGCAGTGGACTATTGGTAACATATACCTTATTATGGATATTAGGTAGTGTCCCGCATAAGAATATTGTGGATACAGCACGAATGGTTCAGCTCGACTGGCGAAAAAATTACGACAAATATTTCGTTTAATAGAAAAGGTCTATATCTAGCTGTGGATTATTTCGTGTTGATAAAAATGTGTGAAAAGAAAGCCTTTGAAGTTCAATAATATGCGCAATATCAGATCAATTCTGGTCCCTTCTAAAGTTTATCGAATTATGATAGTAAGATATTTTAGGAATAATAGATCATTGTGCTGTGGGAAATGGATTATGTATGGAATAATGGATTACGGGATAATATGTAGATTTGGAATGACTTAAATTAGTTTCGTGTACGTTTGAATCGGGAACTAAGCTTAGTTGAACATTTTTCTACAGACTTTATTCTTATATAGCTTTAAAAATTAAAAAGTTAAAGTTACAGCCTAAATACGTCCCACTGCTGGGCACAGGCCTCCCCCTCATTTCTGAGAGGGTTTTTGAGCAAGGAAGTGTCCACCGCGCTAACCCAATGCGTGTTGGCGAACTTCACATGTTTCGATTTTTTTTATTTCTCAGACATGCAGGTTTCCTCACGATGTTTTCCTTCACCGCCGAGCACGTAGTAAATCGGCACTTAAAATTGCAATTAACAATTTCATTGGTGCCGGCAGGGATCGAACCCGGTTTGCTCGCGTACTGTGAAATTTACAGCGAGCGCTAACCATCTGAGCTACTACGGCTCTTTTAGCTATATATATATATATATATATATATATATATATATATAAAGCTTTGCTATATAATAAATCTTATCAATCTTGCTATCTTACTTCCTACTAATATTTTAACACGTTACCTCCACGCTTTCACTTGTGTCGTGGAAGCAGTTTCCATACGCAAATTTCACAAGCACAAACATCCAGACCCGGAACAGGCCATACAAGTGCTTGATCCGTGCGGGATTCGAACCGGCAGCCCCTAGCGCTGCAACTCATTGCTAAGCCACTGCGCCACTGAGCTGATTATAAATGTGAAAGTTTGTATGGATATTTATATGCTTGTACAATTCAGAAAAATCTGTTTCTAAGAAAATTCGTTCAGTAATTTTTGCGTGAACTATCTAAGCGGATTTTAATGAAATTTATCAATATTATAAAAATCAAACCAGAATGTCACTATTTGTTTATTTATAAAGTTTAAGTTGATTCCAAATTACAGTAATTTAAGACATAGTATGAAAAAAATCACCATTCATTTTCTTGGATCTTGTGCCTGCGTTACTCGTAAATACACTAACGAATTGGACTTCTCGAATATAATATAATAATATAGCCTCTTTAATTCCATCATGAATGACTTAGAAAAAGAACAAATATATCTTATAATTACGATTACATAATTATGCATGCATAAAACAAAATAATACAATTCATAATTATCAGAATTAATAATTTACAATCGAATAATACTCGAACTCTGACTTCTTGAATATATTAGCTCCAAAGAAGTCCGCGATACAATTTAACCATCTACTCGTAAACTCAAAACATGAAATTGCTTCTTTGTTTACAATAATAATAAAAATCAGTAGTTTGGACTTATTTTATGATACTATGATATTACTTCTCGTCTAATATATCTCTGTATCCGTTACTGCCTATCAAAAAGCCACTAATGAAACTAGGCCTCCTTCATGAATTGACTCGTATGCTGAGAGGGGGGAGGTACTACTTTTCCAGTAGTAGTATTTTGTCATAATGCTATCAATATCAGAACAACCAAGAAGATGATTGATCTTT